TTGAAATAGTTTTTATAAGTCAATACCGAAAATGTAATTTTTCTTGTAATTAGTAAAATATATTCATGATACAGCTTTCTGTAATATGGTTATCCCAAATATTACAAATAAGGACTGCATTAAGATGTTACAATAATTATTAGGTCATACAAATTTTTATGAACAGTTTTTAACAAAGATTTCTCTCTCTCTCGCGATCCTCTTTAAAATTATCAAATTATCATTCTATTCCTTTTCGGTTTAAGAAGTTAGTGTAGTATAAATCAATAAAAATATACTACTGCAATCTATATTAGGTGCATAGCCAAAGGTTTGATCCTCAGACCTTTCGTGTTTCATTTGTAAGATATAAAGCGTCTCCCAATCGTTTGAAATGTTATAATATCCTAACCCCTTATACATAATTTATTTATTCTGAGACCATCATATATCCAAATAAATTATTTACCATGCTAAAAAATAATGCTGCATAAGACAATGTAGAATCCAGTACTAAGTCTATTTTAAAGAGTGAGGATTCAAATACTTAAGGGACAGATAGATTTAGTTAGACTCTAGAGTTAGTTTAGTCGTGCGAAAGACTGCTGATGCTAGCTAGCGAGGGAAAAGGAAGCAAAGAGTGTGTCAAAATAGTGGAAAGGAAAGCAAAATGTCCACAACGACACAGTTGACGCGACGTGCATACCGCCACCTTTAGAACATACTGATCCAGAATTTGCATGCAGGTCGTCGTCTTCCACGTCTTTGATGACGATGGTTGGGAATGAATTAACAAATCAACAATGTACGAATTCTAATACAGACGAAGCAAAGGAATTTTCTGTGGAAATGCCATGTCCTGTCACGGTGTCTATACCGAAAGTAGAACCGTGTTTTAACGAATCCTTTGGCACGAGTGACAATTCATTAAATTCTGTGAGTACCATTTTTTTACAATTTCGATATTTGTTTCATTTTACACCTGTTTACAATATTTGAAGTGATTAGATCTGTCATTTAGCCTAAAATATTATTCTTGACGCTATTTTCGTTATCGATGTAAACATTCTATTTTTTCGTAAACATGGTGATGGTGTTATATATTTTATTTTAACAACACGTTCATCGTAGTGATGAATTGTGTGAGAAAATTGGAAGAAAAGACATTTGCTTCCCCACCTGTTTTATTGGCGGGAATTTCAAATAACATTGTCGTGTTACAAAGTGATGAATGAATTTTCACAATATAATTATGAAAATATTGAATTTGTCAAGCACACTGTCGTTTGTTGCTCGTTTTTTAATTCTATACATTTTTTTAAATGTTATTGAACAATTCCATATGCCTTTAAAAAATTATATCAGTCATTAGCACAATGCTATTTCTAAATGTATACTATATAGAAAATACTATATTAGAAGTGAAGTTTGTTTGTTAATGTGTATTTCTTTTTAATTTCAGGATGAATTATTTGAATCGCAAATTTCTTTTCCTAAGCCTTATAAAATTAAAGATCCTATTATCCTACTTGAGAAGTGTGATAAAATATGGGAGACATTAAAATTAATAAAAAATGTGCAAGGTAATAAGAGTACTAATACATTAAATTCAGTATCGTTGAAGAATACAGATGATAAACCATATGTTAAATACCAACCAGTAGTATTGGGTGATAACAATGCTACATTACCACATTTAAAATTATCTGTAAAAAGTAGTAGAAGATTGCACCAATGTACAACTTGTGGAAACTTATACTTGCACAAGAAATCACTAAGGCACCATGCGCAAGTGGTACATGGTATTTATATATCAGTAGAGAAACCTAGACACAATTTACCAGAAAAAGCTAATGTTAATAAAGACAAAGAGTCTAGTACTGTTGAAACAGAACAAAGTAATCTTAAAAAGCTTCCTTTGAAGAGAAGTCATAGTATGCAAAGTAAAGATTCTTTATCACCATGTGTAAAATCACATGTGAATAAGTCTAATCATGAATCTATGTCAGATACTCAATCTGAGGGAAAGAAAATAAACATTTCAACGCACACCAAGGAAACGTTAAATAGCGATGAAGGTGTGCCAAAAGATCAAGGAAAATCAATATCTCCTGAAGAATTGAAGGGAAATGGTTCACCATCCTCGTCATATTATCAATGCGTCCTATGTAAGAATTACGTAAAGAATCTAAGAAAACATTTGATTAATTACCATAAAATTGTTCATACTGACCTTATGTTAAAAAAATTGAAACAAACATCCATTGTGTCAAAAGTTAATAAATCGAAAAATAGTAGTAATAATAATTCTTTGAGAAATAGTGCTGTCACTAGCGATAAACAGAAATTTCAAAGTAATGGAAAACGAAACTTGAATAGATCTCACGCAGGTCATGAAAAAAGATTTAAAGTTACTGATACTGCATACAGAGTTAACAATTCACTGCCAGATGGCAAACACAAGTGCTCTATTTGTTCTCATATCTACAGACGAGCACGTGATATTAGAAGACATGTGGAAGCTCATCGTAGACATGGAGAAACAAAAGAAAATGTCAATGTAGTTAGTAATAATATAACTACTTGTATAAATGGAAATTCAATCATAATTCGCAGATACAAGTGTCTTATTTGTTCTGAGACTTATAAACCACATAATATTAGAAGACATGTGCAAGGTCATCGAGGTCGTGGAGAAACGAAAGAAAATTTTACTATGAAATCAAAAGAAAATAAAAATTCACGTAGTGTGTCCCTTAGAAATATTAACGGTATCAAGGACAAAAGGCAAAATAATTCTGTTAATTTATTTGCTAATAAGAAAACAAATCAAAGAGAAGCTAGGAAGAGAACAGAATTTTATAGGAGAAACGATGATAAACACAATACTACTTGTACTTGCGGAAGATCGTTTCGTGATCCCTACACAATGCATGTACATAAGAAAGTCTGTGACTTAGAAAGTGATGAAACAGGAGAACGTGTTAGCCGTAGTCGAAAAAGAATGGTTTCAAATTCTACATCAAGAATTAACATAACAATAAAGAAAAGAAATGATTCTTATGAAATTGTTGGTAGAAAGACAGACGATGAAAAGGAATTGCAATATTCTATGAACGATAGTAGATCGTCAACAAATTCGTCCGATAATGATATCGAAACACAACATGCATGCAATGAAACTGTAGAAGTATCCAAGTACAGTGAAAATCACAGTTTTTTGAAAATTCAGGATATCGATGAAGATATCGACGTTGACATTGAAGAAAATTCTCAAAGTGTTTCTGCTACTAATGACACTATCGAGAATCTTGCAACGATTGAACTAGATCAGCCTCTTCCTGAGTCTTTCAATAAACAAAAAGAAAATAAAATAAACACAAACATAAAAAGGTCTTCTAGTCGAACTTCTAAAAACATTCTGAAGCTACAAAAACAAAATATTTGTATCTGTGGAACTCTGTTTGATAGCAGAAAAGCTCTTGATTTCCATGTTTTAAAACATCATTCATGCACACGATTTACGTGTGGATATTGCAATACAACTTTTCCTAATGCTTCTCTGTGGAAAAAACATCAGTGTAATTCTTCTCAAACTAAAGTGTTTATTGATACACCTCAAGAATTAGATTGTAAGTTCTGTAATATTTCAGTGAATTCTTATATAGCATTTGATGTACATATCCGACAAAAACATTTTGATCCTGTAGTACCAATACAATGTTATCAATGTGATAAACGTTTCTCCAATACCACTGCTCGAAAAATTCACATTAGGAACGACCATGAACAATATACTTGTAACATGTGTGATATGATATATAATGACAATATGAAGAACAGACATGAAGGATACCATTATGGGCTTGGACATCCTTGTCACATTTGCAAAAAGACATACTCCTCTAAAAGGAATTATGTTAGACATATTCAAAAAGCTCATTTTGCACGTCGGCCATAGGATGATGCGATTTTTATAATACCTTGTAGATTACTATAAGAGCTTTTGATACATATTTGGTAAAAAGTAGGCGAATGAATGAACAAGCAGAAGCATGAAGCTTTTAATTTAAGAATAGTATGTACATAACAAAATGAGATATAATGGGATTTTTAAGATTTTAAAGTTTAGTTATGCAATTTATTTAATTTTCCCTTTGGACGGTCGAAAGATAACTCTCGTTTGC